GCCTAAGGGCCACCTTAGCAAAGCGCATCCCAGGCTGCATAGCCGCACTACCCTACCCAACCATACCACACATAAACATGACACTACCCCCGGGGTTTACACAGACGAGCCGGCGAAGCAAGAAGAGCGCCAGAAGAAAGGGCCCTAGCCGGCGGGGCCCAGCCAGGACAAAAGGAGGTCCCACAAAGCGCCTACACCGGCCGCATTTGCGGTCGGGGTAGACGACGGATGGGGCCCACCTACGAAGGCTGTCCAGGCCTACACGAGATGAGGCAGGATAAAGAGGGATAATCCCCCTCGATCCCAAATCATTGAGGCCAATTTCTAGCCATGGAATAATGGCGCGATTTAAATAATTTGATACAAAGGAAATTTTAATTAAAGTTACCGGGTAACTTTATGAATTAGGCAACACAATATACATGAAAAGATTAATATGGAAAACATTATATTATACATATTAACAGCGATTTATTTCAAAACGAACCAGTTACACATAGAGACTGTCTAGTCTCCTTGCAGTTACAGTTAAAAGTTAAAACCCTTTCGGATATGGATTGAGGTGATAGGATTTAAATGTTCTAGGCCTCTTTACACGACACATAAGGGTCATTCCACACGACAGCCGTTTGATCGTCCGTACCATGGTACGCGTGCCATGGCACGGAACACTCCTATCTATATTTTTTATTCATGTGACCGAATAGTGGAAATAAGGTCTGTTTATTTACATTCTTGCGCCAGTTCCCAGTGGTGACAAGATTTTTAAAATTCATTTCGTGCGTTTATTAAAAATTTCTACACATTTAATATAAAATATCAATTTATAAAAGAAACTGAAAAGTAACAAAAATAATAAAGTTGACCTAATTATAAATGAAAATGTAAATAAACAGACCTTATTTCCACTATTCGGTCACATTAATAAAAAAATATATATAGGCGTATTCATACGACCCGTGCCATGGCTCTTAAAATTGGTAAGATTGCTTCTGATCAATTTGATCTCAGATCATAGTTTCCGTTCCGAAACCCCCTCTTATTAACTTGTCGGCTGGTTATATTTCCTCTTCTTCGATTTCGTGGGTCATCTTCAAAGTCATAGTCAGCGTTGCCACAGCTCGCTCAATCGAGCGAGATCTCGCCCTTTTTATTTCGAATACACTCTCTCGCTCATCTTTGTCAAATCTCGCTCGTTTTACTTACTTAAAGTTTGGATACTTTGGTATAGATGGTAAAGGTAATTTTATTACGATAAGAGGGTTCTATAGCAAATAGGCGACCAGCAATACATTTTATAGATTTTATTACACAGTTTGCCTAAATATGAATTAATGCACAAATAACAAACTTTCCCCAATTTTAACGCAGATTTTCTATAAAATATACTTAGTTTGAAACTCAAATTACTTTTTGGTGTAAATAAATTTGTAACTTACGATGCTGCTTGTTCAAAAGCGTCAAATTACAAATTTCTTTACAACAAAAAGTAATTTGAGTTTCAAACTAACTCCATTTTATAGAAAATCTGCGATAGAACGGAGGAAACTCTGTTATTTGTGCATTAATTCATATTTAAACAATCTGTGTAATAAAATCTACAAAAATGTATTGCTGATTGCCTATTTGCTATAGAACCCTCTTAACTTGGTTGCCTCAAAGAAATAGAGAGGATTCATTGCCTAACCTGCCTTAGATACCGATCGACACTACCGACAGTCGGGTCCACAGATTACTGAACTATTGGTCGGGTCGGAAAGTCGAAACATTTATCGAATGGCCAGATAATAATAAGAGTTAAATTTTTAATTTCTTCAGTCTATATTTAAAATTAATAAAAACCTACTAACACAACCTATGGAATTGTACCTATAATCTACTGAAGTTTGGCTATTCTATTTTTGTAGAATAGCTGATATAGACCATACTTTTAAAGTTTACGTAGTTGCCTTATTGTATACCTACCGTCCAAAACTAAATTATCTTTCTTGTAATTTTATTCAGACATTTTAATTTCCGACTAACGTAAGTTAATGTAGAGTTATTGATTGATTTATTTCAACATAAAAAAAATCTCACTCTTTTAAATGTAATCTTGCTCGCTTTTGATAGGAACGCTCGCTCGAAAAATATAGGTCTGTGGCAACACTGGTCATAGTCAGTGGTACATGCTCTTTTTGACATTTGAGGTTATGTTTGAAATGAAAATACTAAGTTTGCTGGTACAGATTTTATTGTTGTGAACTCAATTACAAAGCTGAAATATTAATAATTGCTAGTTTACTACTTTGAAAGTCAAAATGACAAGATTTGCAAGATCTAAGGGATCTAAAGCTTCTAATGAACGGTTACCCGAAGAAGCAACACCATGGAGCGAAATGAAAAAACAATTATCAGATAAGAATAAAGAAACAGAAGAAAACAAAAGCCGAAAAGATGCGTTTGAGAAAAGAAATGCAAACTACAAGGCCTTTTTGGAAGAAAAAGAGAAGGCTAGTAGCGAGAATTCAAATTGGGCTGAATTTCCAGGCTCTGTGAATTCCTCTATGAAAGAGAATAAAAAAAAGAAACACAGAAAATCTCTGACTACAGATAGTAGCCCTAAGCAGAATAATGACAAAATAACTGAAAAACAGGGAAATGATAGTGATGACGCACCAGAAGAGCAGAGTTCAAAGAAAGAAGTTGTAGAAGCAATAGTTAAGAAAAAAAAAGGGAAACCAAAAAAGTTGTTAAAAATATTGGAACAAGATATCAACTCTAAAAATAATGCAAGTAATAATCAAAACGATAAACCACCAAAAAAAAGAAAATTAACTGAGGGTGGAGAAGGAAGTAGTATAACAAAAAAATTTAAGAAAAGCATTGACCTGAAAAAAGTAGATACTGTAATAAATGAAACAGATGTAAAAAGTGAAAAAAATCTTGAAGGTAAGGAACAGAAGAAAAAACTGGTGAAAGAAAATCTTACTGAAGTTGATTTAAGAAAAATTGAGAAAAAGAAACAAAGGCGTCTTAAACAGGTAGCAAAGAGGAAGCTAGTTAAAGCAGAGTTGAAAAAACAGAAGGAACAGAAAAAGGCACTGGAGAATAGTGAGTCAAAAACTGATGAAACACAAACCGAAATTTCAATACCTAAATCCTTTGACAAATATTTAAGTAAAAATACTTTTCCAAAAAAACCTTTTGCTAAATCAAACAATGTTAAAGAAAAACAGAAAAAACCAAGAGACAAGGAAGACCATCCTAGGAAAAAGCCAATGTTACCACATAAAATGTTTATAAATGGTAAAGAATTAGAAATTGATTATGTTGATGGATTCCCTGTTAAAAAGGAAGACGCTTTGCGGTTAAAGAAATTAAGACGAGAAATGATAAGTAAAGGATTGCCAAGAAGTGAAATTGACTTTGCCATGAAACTTGAAAGAAGGAAAGCTGAAAAAGCGTTTACTAGAGAGAAGAAAAGGGTATGAAACATTAGTTTTCTTAATTAGATAATTTTGAACATTCTGTTTAGGTCTGCTTCCACTGCAGAAAGTCTGGACATAATCTCTCAGAATGTCCCGAAGTTGACAAAAACGAAGTGGCTCAAACAACTGCAACTGGGATTTGCTTTAAATGTGGGTCCACAGAACACACACACTTCGAGTGCAAAGTTGTTCGTGGACAAGAATTTAAATATGCTACTTGTTTTATTTGCAAAGAACAAGGCCACATCGCTAGGCAGTGTCCTGATAATGCAAGGGGTTTGTATCCAAAAGGTATGTATGGATTTATTAACAGTACAGAATAATATAATTTTTATTTTTACTAGGAGGTGCTTGCAAAGTCTGCGGGGATGTGACACATCTGAAAAAAGATTGTCCAAAATATCAGGCCCAACAACAAAGGCAAGAGGAGAATTTGAGGATAGAGACTCTTGGAAACAGTAATCCTGATGTGTTGGAAGAAAAATATAATGACAACGGACCCACGGGCAGTAAGAGACATAATAAAATAATAAAATTCTAAATCTGTTATAAATATACATATAAGGTTTACAAAATCTCATTATTAAAACCAATCCTTTAAACCTCGATATAATTTTATGTTGCATATACGGGGTCCCATACCACCCGTCCACTCCTTCGAAAGTTACTGATCTCCAAGGGGCACATATTGTCGTGACCCTGTTTGTGACCTTGAAGGTCATTTTCAAGCTTATTTCAAGGTCAACTTAGTTTTTTGAATGGAAAGCCTTATTTTCAACCTCACATTTCGAAAGAGCGGAAAATTCTACGTTCAAATGTTGTATCATGTGTGACCCCCAAAAAAAAAACAAAAAGGCAAAAAACAAGGAACCAACCAAGGAACAAAGGAATTTCCCCGAATTAATTGGAAGGCAACGAACCAAAAATTTCCCCCGGTTCCCGAACCAAAAATAAAAAAGAAGGGTCCCAACGAAAAAAACCAAAGTGAACCTGAAAAGAACCTGAAAAATGGTTCAAAAGCCAAGGTAACTCAAAAATTTGCAAACATTCCCCGGAAAAATATTCAACAAAAAATAAGTTTAAGAAGGCAATTAAGGGGAAAAAATCAAGAAAAAAAAAATTGACATTCACGTGACTTGGGGGGACAAATACACATGATACATCAGCTGAACGTACAATTTTCCGCTCTTTCCGAATCCAGGATTGAAGAAAATAAGGGTTTCCATAAAAAAAAACTAAGTTAATCTTGAAATGACCTTAAAAATATCCTTCAAAGTCACGACGATATGTGCTCCTGGGAGACCAGTAACTTTCATCTGAACCATTTTTCACATAACCATGTACTTTGGATTAAAGAAGGGGTGGACGGGTGGTCTGGGAAACCTGGTATATGCGACATAAACATTGTTGACTTATATAGATAAAAATAATGAATGAGCTTTTTCCAAGTTTGCCCAAAAAAATTGAATTTTATATTAAGTAGGACACTGTTTGGAATGTTGCAGTATTTCACCTAAACCAAAATAAAAAAAGTTCATATAAAGATAGGTCCACAAACGTTTCTTTTTGAGACAAAAGCTGATAAAATATTATTTTTGTAATTTTTTTTTCATTTGGTTTGTATTTCGTAGTAGAAGATCATCAGCCGGTTAGTACACCAGACCTGATGCTTGCAACTATATGACAGTTTTGTCTAAAACTTGCTAGCAAGCCACATAAAATATGTAACCATGCTTTAAGGGGAACATTTATATGCGCAATTTTTTATCCAGGATTTTAGAAAATCTAAGCAAGTTAGAAACGAAATCTCTTCACTATATCAGTTTTATAAGTTTTTTTCAGGGTATAAGGCAACTGACAACACATTTAAAATAGGGAAAAAATATTTTTATCTCGTATGTTTATCTAACGTTTCCTGAATTTTGCATGCCTATTCAACATACAGAAAATCACACCCTGCAGAATGCTTTTAGGAAACTATTAACACATGAATTAATACTATTATCGAATATCTTTACAGAGGACCCCGCACAAATCAAACGGAAATTGGCTTTCGGTGAAATCGGCCGAATTTTGGATATGTTTCGGTGTCCAGATCAACAGTCTCCACGGGCACGAAGCTCGAAAATCTTCCCTGCAAGCAGTACCCAGCTTGAAAGTTAGAGGCCGGTAATCCCCGATTTTCGCTGATTTTACCTCTACCCTTACATTTTCGGGATATATATGAGGATATATATCAGGGTTTATAGTTCAAAAGTAATAAAGAATTCCCTGACTTCTCCAGGTTTTTCCTGACTTATAAAAAAAAATCCAGGGCACTTGTAGTTCAATTTTACATACTAATTGGTGATTATGCATTAAATTTTTTGCCGTATATAATTTCGTGGATTTTGTTCGAAATACTGTAACAGTCTAGCGGTATTAACATTGATTCTTACTCTTCGGTCAATTATTTGATTTTTCCGAACAGAAAATGCATCTTCATTTCGTCGCAAGCTCGCCTCCAATCTTGTAAAGGTTCTATCATCAGGAATGAGGAGCTCTGGATACCTTTTTCGATATAACTCTACAGCTCTTCTTGAATTTTTTGTGATTCACCATAAATTAGCATCAACTTCTTTTGAATGAGAAAAAATTTTGTAAGCACAAAAGTTATATGTTTGACATTCATATTGAGTAATGACAAGTATTTTTTTACATTTATGCACTTTAAACAACAAACATTCAATTATTTTCCAACGACTACTTGATCCTTTCATCGCTAATGTGATTTTTAGGTGGTATTTCTTTTGAGACTCTAGACTCTAGAATCTATTGCTTATAACTTTTAAACGAGAAGTAATACAGAAAAATGTCTCTAATAAAAGTTTAATAGAGAAAAGAGAGCTTTTTAAGAGGAAAAAAATTGGGTATGTTTCTGGAAAAAATATAATTGATGACATCATTAGTTGTTTCTGTCAAATCCCAAAGATAATACTTCCAATTGAAAATGGAGCTAACCTCATCCCATCTAACACCACGTGACCCAAATTTTATTAAAATTTTTTGTATCCTCACAGTAGGCCCATACTTTCGAGTTTCAGACACCCTGTATCAACATTAAATAAATTTGTATACAGTACAACATATATTACAAACTGGTTTTTAATTTAAATCCGCACACTATTCGTCGGTTTAGCTTTCAGAGGAGATTCGGTGTCAATGTATGGGCAGGAGTATATGGCGATCGTTTAATTGGACCGCATTTTCTACATGAACATCTGAATGGACCGCGTTACTTTCAATTTTTAGTAGAAGGCTTACAACAAATTAAATGTGATGGTTAGTTATAAATAGAAAAAGAGAAAAAAAAATTTTTAGGTAGGTATCAATTAAGTATATGTACTTTTTCATTACTATTTTGAGGAGATATTTATAAAATTAAGTGTGCTACTTGCCATCTTAAACATAGTTTTGCAACATGTGATTCTTTATGGAAACAAAGTGAATTGGTATATTAAATAAATACATTTTGTAAATATTTAGTAGATTTATTATACTCGTATATACATCATACAGCCAAAGGAATAGAAGAGCACTTTAAGTTTAAGTAAATGAGTGCAAATATTCGTCTAGAAACTGCAGAAAATTTTTTTCAATAATAAAATAACATATTTTCTTGAACAAAAATAAAAAAATATTATTTTCCAAACTAAATAAAACACTCATATCCATTCAGTTCCAATTCCATGACAATATAATAAAAAATATTTTTTTTTTCTTTTTTTTTGTAAATATAATTAAATCTAAAAAACGTATTTTACAGGGAAAATATTACTTTATGTGTAATATTACTTTAATTTTACTGAGTGAAAATTTTTTATATATTTTTTATTTACATTGTGAAATAGTAATGAAATTATGTATTTATGAATAGTCTAGTTTAATTGAATATTTTATAAAGATTAAAAAATGGTGCTTGTTTTTAGATGCAGTTTTTATACCTAGTGGAATACCAGAATTTAGTAATTTTGTTCTATTGCCACTTCAAATTGACCGGTTAAGTACATAAATATGCTACATTTAATTGTTTTAGCACCGTACCAAATGTTATTATGGAAATTTCAATATTCTCTTATACTTAATATATTTATACATTTTCTTATTAATTTACAATTTAAGACATTTATTAGTCTTCTATGTAGCACCACTATTATTCGCTACAGAGATGGTACATTCTCCAATTTTGGCTACGGCACTATTTTCAAATAACCCAATATTTTCCAAAAAAGTCCCTGTCTTCTCCGTCTTTTCTGGCTCATTTTTATCACTAGGTTCGGTTTTAATCTCCACAAGAGGCTCCATTAAATCTTGGTCATCTATCGTCAGATCATCACTGGTTTCTTCGAGAGGTTTTGTTAAATACTCCAAATCCCCATAAGGCATGTTTGATATGTCATAGTTTTCCTGCTTCGTATCTTCCTGGGGAACTAGTCGCAATAAAAATGAAAACAAAATTAGTTTCTGTTTCAAAATTTGAGTAGATTGCATTAAACTCACCAATGGGGTTTAGTCTTGGTCTTCCTCTTGGTCGTTTTACTAATGGTGGAGGTGCTAAAAAAGATAAAATGTGAAAGTTATGATCACAGTACCAGAGCCCAATTTTTTTTTCTATTACTGTTTAAAACAGGCTAATAAATCTTTGACATCTGACAAGTTTCTTACCGGGAGGGTATTTCCTTGGCCTTCCTCTTCCTTTCTTTTGTGGGCCAGGAGCAGGTGTTGGTGAACTTAGGGGACTGTGGACCACAGGTTCAGATGTTTCAATCATAGTTTGTTCAGGTGTTAATATGCGAACATGTCCTATAGTCTAAAAACATTTCTTAAATATAGAGGGTGTTTCATGATGAACTATCCATTAATAGGATTAATGCAAAAGTGGGACAACCTAGGTTAGTCTGTAGCCACTTAAAAAAAGACTTGGGTTAAAATAATGTTTTGGCTGATCTTCAAAAAAAACTGGACTGATTAGTGGGTATTAATTTATTTTTCCTATACACCATACACCATCCAATATCAACAAACTCTTGAGGTCAGAATTCCAAAATGATATTAAGAAAATTTTATTTTTTTTATGACCACACAAGAAAGTATGTATGTAAATTTTTTTACTATTTGATATTATAACCACTGACAAAAATCATGCATTTGATTTTTTAGTCACACTTCCTCAGGTTTTGAATTAAGAATGAATTTCTGGTATAGTCTTTCCGTTTTCAATTGAAGAACTAAGAGGTTGGCAGGTTTGGTTGCTGACGCAGCAACTCGGCATTGAAATATTTGAAAAACTTGTTCCCATATTTATTTATCCATACCCATTGGATACAGGTCTGGTTGAACTAAACGTGGCGGTGGTAGAAATGTATGTAACACAGCCCCACTGGGCGACTGGGCAATAAATCTCAGTTGTTAACAAGTGGTTGACAAATTCTCTAATAGTGCAGTGCAGCAATGCGGAATTTGTTGTGATTCAGGTAATTTGAATTTATTATAGGCACCTTCTATTAATTATTCATATTACAATAATTACAAAAGGAAGAGGGATATTTTGTTTACTAAATTATTACAACATGACTTTTTGGAGACCTTTTGAAATAGAACAAAACGAAATTTACCATCAGTTGTTTGAGGACATAAATAATTAAAATATGTTGTTCGCCAAATGACCATATAATAGAAATTTTCTACACATTATAATATACAAATTATAATTTTTACAGAAAACTTTTTTGGGGGCCTATGAAACTCATTAAATTTTATTGCCAGGCGTTTTTATACATGTTCAACTGACTTCAGAGAGACTAATACATTTTTGTTCTCAACTTTTCAATAATATTTTATTAATGAGAAAAGTTAAAGCCAATACTTTTACAAATTTATAGTTATTTCAGTGGGAAGGGAGGAGGAATACAGAGAAGTAACGGGAGGTAAAAGTAGACATGCAATTAGTAATGATAATGGAAAGAGACTGATAGAATTCACGTTAGAGAGTAATATGAAAATTGTCAGCACCGCCTTTGACCACAAAAATATACATAAAGAAACGTGGATAGCACCAAATGGCGAGACAAGGAACCAAATTTATCATGTCCTTATAGAGAGAAAACATGCTAAGGACGTTACTGATGTGAGAAGTTACAGAGGAGCAGACAGTGAAACTGACCACAGATTAGTTATAATAGAAATGAGACAGGAATGACCTTTTAAGAAAAAATATGTGAAAAGGGGAGAGCGGGCGAGATATGATGTAGCAAAACTAAAAGACATGGCAACAGCAGTGCATTTTGAGCGAGAAAATGGCAAGAGAATTGGCAATGAAACCCCATAAGGAGCAGATAGAACAAGAATGGGCACAGATCGAGACTGTTATGGAGGAGGTGGCAAGAAAGAGATTGGGAAAGTGTAAAAGGAAACAAACAAATAAATGGTTTGATGAAGAATGTAAGCAAATGTTGGGACGGAGAAATAAAGCACGGCTGAGGTTACTAGAGGAAAGGAGCGAAAACAACAAACGAAGGTACGAGCGCGCTCGTAGGGAAGCCAAGGCAATTTGCAGCAGGAAAAAGAAGGAACATCTAGAGCAGGAACTAAAGGAAATAGAAGAATTGTATGTTAGTAAGGAAATGAGAAATTTTTATCAGGAAGTTAAAAAAAGTAAAAACAACAGCGCCAGACAACCCCAGTATTTGAAAACTCAGGATGGCTCCTTGGTTGGAGATACGGAAGGGAAATTGCAGAGATTTGCCCAGTATTTCTCAGAAATACTAAATGAGAATGGGGAGGAAGACTGTTCGAGAGAAAATGAGATGGATATGCCAAATGACGATGAAATTGTAAGTGTACCCACAAAGGAAGAAGTAGAAGATTGTACTAAACGGTTAAAAAATAACAAGAGTGCGGGAGAAAATAATATAACGGCAGAAATTTTAAAGCATGGAGGGGAAACACTGGTAGTAAGAGTATGGGAGCTGATAAAAAAAATCTGGGAAGAAGAGAAGATGCCAGAGAAGTGGAATAAAGCGCTAATAATACCCATTCACAAAAAAGAAGCTAAGGAGGAATGCAATAATTATCGAGGGATTGCACTACAAGATGTAACATACAAAGTGGTAGCGAAAATAATTAAAAACCGATTGGAAAAATACCATAACGAACAAGTGGGGGAATACCAAGGAGGGTTTAGGGCAGGAAGATCAACGACCGATCAAATATTCATCATGAAGCAGATCCAACAGAATACTTATGAGCAGAATTTGAGTTTACATTTGCTGTTTGTTGACTATCGGCAAGCCTACGACTCCATTAGTAGAAAGAAGTTGTTACATTCAATGAGGCAGTTAGGAGTCCCAGAGAAGTTATTGAAGTTGGTGGGGATGACTGTTAGAAGAACAGAAAATAAAGTTACAATGAATGGGGCAGTATCTGAGGAGTTCAGTGTAATGAAAGGTTTGAGACAAGGAGACCCACTGTCCACAGTCTTGTTTAATTTGGTGCAGGAAGTGATTTTGAGGGAAAGTGGTATAAATATGAGAGGGCTTATATATGGCAGCCGACACCAGTGTTTAGCTTATGCCGATGACATTGTGCTGATGGCGAGATCCGAGGAAGAAGTAACAAGGGTTTTTAAGTTGTTGGAAGCAAAAGCAAGAGAATATGGCCTAGCAATCAATGAAAATAAAACAAAATATATGGTGATGAAAAACAATACCAGAGGACTTCCAGCAAATTTAAATATTAGTTGCACTGCAAATAGGAGATATACGATAGAGAGAGTAGAACAAGTCGAATATCTAGGAGTAACGCTAACGTGTAAGGGCGATGAAGAAAAGGAAATAGAAAAAA